GGGGATATAGTGGCTGCATAACAGGGAAGACAAATCTCTACTGTACTTTGATTATGGGGGTCTTTTGTGACTTCAGGTGACAAGCTAAAACTGTCACAACGATCAAGAACACTTTTTTTTCCCAAGAGCTCAGAAGAAATCCATCTACCTCCAAAAGCAAATAGAGCTATCTGTGTTCTCTGCTTTATATATACAATACTGTAGACTTAACCAACCATGCATGTAACACACTTATACTCATGAAAACACCAGACACTCCCATTCATACCACCATCTCTCTTCTCAGACCCATTTAACAGGTGGTGATCTGTTAGGTCTGAACACCAGCCTAAATAGAAAGGCAACATAATGACACACATGGGTCCTTCTCAGTGTCTATCATTTGGTAGGGGCATGGAGATCCTGAACTGTTGATGCATGCTGTAGTATCGCTCTTCCAGCAACATTGAAGGCAAGCAAGTGAATTTCACCAGAGAGAAAGCTTGCTGGTTCTGTAAGTACAAGATGTTAGACAGCTAGCATAAAATGAGGGTCGTCTGATCTTCAATGCTTTTGAAGACCAGGACACATAGTCTGAATTCCAAATTGGCTCCCTCCATTCCTGTCAGAAGCAGATAGCAGGCTAAAAGATGAAACCATCTAAAGACTGGTCCTCTTCCTCATATCAGGAGGCCTCTTGAGACCAACCCTTGATGGTCTCCCAGAAGTCATTTTAAGATTATAGTCTGACTTTTACAGCTTCATCAATGGTATTTCCACTTAAGAACTTCTAAATTAAAAGAGATGCCTTGTGATCATATCTTTTAGACTAAAAATATATTCTTCTGTGTTATTTCTGAAAAGTGATTCTCCTCTGTAAAATGGTATTGGCTTCAGTGGCAGATTATCACTGTTTGCATTGACCGTCGCCTTGCTGGGGGTGGAGGTGGAGTTGCAGTTCCAATTTACAACTCTTTGCACACCTGCTCCCTCCTTATGCCTCTGTGTCAATGCCAGCTGAAATGTTTGAATG